GTGATGACATTACAAACCCTTGTCTGCTGTACTGGCAGCAGCAGCGAGAAGCAAGCTCAAGCCTTGTGAAAAAAACAGCTGCGGCGAGCTTCGACGGTGCAGCAGGGGCCCGCAACCGAAATTCACTTCTGTGTCTCTTCGTGTGAGCTCCGTGTCGCCAGCCCTGCCCATGCTAGAGCTTTCGTCCCAGCCCGTGGCTCTCAAGTCGGAAAATGTGCCCTGCACAGCATCGGAAGCAAATCAAAGCCCTGTATACAGAACGTAAGAACCCCAAATTGCTGCAAGGCGGGTAAGGGAAGCTATCTAGCAGATGAGCTGCAGTCTCGGGCGTGGCCTTGCAGGGCTAAGCCTTGTAAGCCCTTTAACCCGAGCCTCTCAACCCTAACCCCAGAAGCTTGAAACCCTTGATACCCGGCCCTGTCCCGAATTAAAGCAAAAAATCGCAACGCCACTCCTGCAGGTAGGGCTTCTGTCGAGCATGCCGAAATGCCTCGAGCCGACGAGGTCCAAAGATTGTCTCAGGGGTTTAGGGCCGAGTGCAGATTTCAGGAGTGGGCGGGCTGTAAGTTGGCTGGAAGCCTCTGCTCGATGCTCTCCTCTTCGCAATTGCAGAGGCTGGGGCCTTCGCAGACGGCAATCGCTGGGGCTGGACGGGAGCAGGCCTTCCGCCAGACTGCATGCAGCTGCAGCGTCTGGTCGCTTCAATCGAGGTTCGGACGCTCTACTACAGCACGACTACCGCAAGAGCCTTCAGCGAGAAGGACCCCCGGGACATCGCTCGGAGCCCGGAAAAAACCATCTCACGTTCAGCTGCTGACCTCTTCGCCTGCTCGATTTTGTTTTGTTCCGAGCTGCGCAACAGACTGAGGCAGCGGCAACGGTCGAGAACTTCATTGATGTGTGATAGCCCTAGAAGACTCGACTGCACGTGTGTCTGCATTGCCTGTATTTGTCGATCTTGCAATTTCCTGGTCGTACGCACAAGAACCCCAGGTGGCATCAAACATATGGCATGGTAAGACATTGGTCACCTGACAGTGTAACATGAGCGGCCTTCGACAATATCTGGCTTCCCAAAGTGTCGAAATTCTGAGGCACGGAATTGGGCAGCGAAGTGGCAAGTACTTGAAGCACCAAAAGAAGAGGCCCCCTTTCAGAGAGTGAGAAAGATGTCAGGCATCCGCATCAGGTCTCGCAAAGACTGCAGCTGCAAGTCTCTCTGTCCAGCAGTCGGTGATCGACTCAACTCTGAACCCGAAATCCCCGAAAGTTGAGCCCCCCATGACAGCAGGGCCCCTCTGCTGGACCGTTCCTCGGTTTGCTACTACGCAGACTACATCGTCCCTGCCTCGGGACCCGTACTGTAAAAGTGCGCGAATTCTTGGTCTCTTCGTGCTGTCCCTAGAACCCTCGCTGATCGACTGCCCAGGCCTTGCCTCTCGACGACGCCCCCGTCACGAAAGCCTTGGCCAAGGACTGCCTTTCTTCAACTACTGCTGTAGCAGGATCAAAAGGATGCAGAGGTGCCGTGATAGTGATCGAACGCATCAAACGCACAAGCGAACGAAAGGCAAAACTCGATTTATGTGATGTCAGAGACGCGGCATTTGTCGCGACATGCTCTACCTGGAAGCCTTGTGGGTTTTTTACAGAACAACAAGAAAACCTAGATGCAAGAGAGTTCAGATCGAATTTTCTTCGACCGGAGTCCTTAGGGTTCAGGAACAAAGAAAGCAGCTATGGCCACTTCACAGGTCTTTTTCAAACTGAAACCCATACCGTCGAAGTGCTCAGGAGAACAAGCTGCGCAGCAATCCTCAGCACTCAAGACGCGGCTTCGGCCAAACATGCTGCACCATGTTTGGCACGGAAGCTCTGGCAATTTTACGAAAGTTGTTGACTTAATTAGTGGTTCTTGAAGGTTCCCGTTTGTTTGTTCATTCTGCCCTGATGCATACCTGCATGTCGCATGTCCCCGCTTAGGGCTCTAGGAACGCGGGAGCGCAGTACTGCCGCAACTCTTCAAACAGAAAAGCTGCTGATTTCAGCCCGGCGTTTGAGAACTGCCTCAGGCCTTACTGCTATGTTGAAATCTTGGCATTCGTAGTAAGATGGGTTTTGCTAGCCTAGGTGCTTCGGCAGCCAAGTTCGATGACAACACGATGAGCAAGGACTTCTGGTAGCTGGCTTTGGATTCTGCAGGCCTTAGGCGGCCTTAGGTTCTTATCGAGGCGAAGGCTGAATGGAAAGCGGATGCGATGGCTATGCTCAGGCGCAAACTTTTGCGCGTCTTCTGGAGCTGCCAGAAACCTTGGATGTACATCGCCCCTTCCTCCATGTTCCGGACATCTCAGAACCCGACCTGAGCCATTCTGCGGTGCAGGAGGCCTGGAGGCGCTACTCGCGCAAAGAGGCCCCCTATAAATGGAGTGTCCTCATGAAGCAGGGCATAGAGTAATGTGGACGATGAGTTCGGCCGTACCCGCGAGTACATCACATCGTTCACTCAATGCTGCGTTGGGCCGCTACGGCATTCAGCGTCCTTTCAGGACGTTAGACATCCCGAGGATGTTTGCGTTTGGAGACTCAGAGCTTCGAGACTTCAGCCGAATTTGCGCGGGTCTCTGGTCGGCTCTGCAAAAAATATCATCTAGATTCCGGCAGCTTGGCGCCCAGCAGAAACAAATTCAAGTCCTACATAATACCGGAAGAGTGAAAGCCATGCCTTAACCGACCAAGCCCGAAACCCCTGCATCCATGAATGCTGAATCATAGCACCCCAAGCCCTGGACCTTACATCTCGAAGATCCTCGGCATCAGATATAAAGCCTTGCAGAAGGGACCATCAAACCCCAGACTCAGACTCCGCTGCGCTGAACCCAGCAGCCTGAAGCCTGAACCCCAGCGTACTTCAGCGCGAGGCTGCCCGGGCTCGGCAGAAGAGTGCTAAGCCAAAGGTCCGGGGCTCACGAACAATACGAAGCTTCTCGAATTGTAGGGTTCAGATTCGGATGTGTTGAAGGTTGAGTAGTGCAGATGGGTTCAAGGGTTTCAGGATTCATGTCTGCCACAGGATGCTATGGGCGGTTTGCGTAGGACTTGTTCTGTTTCCTGTGACCTGCACGGTCCCGCACGCGGCAGTTCCAAGCGTCCGACATCTGATGCGTGTGATGGGCACTGTGTCGCGTCTAGTAGCCCAGCTGACGCTGATGATGCTGCCTGTGTGGTTGGTGCGGACGATGACGGCTGTGTGGTTAGGTCAGATACTTCACACATGATGCTCTGAACTGCCGTAACTGGGGAAATTATCAGGAGAGGTTCGTTGGAGCTGAATGGGTGGCCATCGGACCATCGGACACACAGCTTGGATGGCAACGTTG